TTCCCCCTATGACAAAGCTACCACAGAACAAGGCAGAACAAGAACTGAATCAGATTGTATCCACTGGGATTGTTGATTTCCATGAGACCAAAGTTGCTGGTATGGGAGACATGAAGCAGACAAAGCAAATCATGTCACTTCACTACAATTTGTTTTTGTGATTTTCAGGGCCATTTAAAAGAACTCTGAAACTATGAAAAAAAAATCCACAGATACACGGAGAAATAGGGACATAAATATTTTTATTGATAAAATCAACACTAAAAAACCAAAAATCAAAAGAAAGCAAGAAGGTTAGCAGGGTGAGGAAAAACAACAAGCACCAAAACAAACCCTTCACTCTATACCCAATTAATTTAGAAAAATTTCTCTAAATTTCTTCTCTAATCTGATGGAAGATGGGACAGTAAATATGATTCAAGGTGAAATCCAAACACCCACCATTTAGATACACCCTGTAGATTACATTTTTTTATTCACACATTCAGCTTGCCAAGCATTTAAACAATACATATAGTTTTAAAACTACATATAGTTAATGTATTCAAGTGTGCAATTCCAGTACACTGCTTTAATTTTTTTCTTGTTAGTGAGCTGGTTTTCCTGACCATGTTAAAATAGGGCAATAAATGTTGCAAAAAATGCAAGCTTATAAAGATCTGAAAATTTTGCCGAGCAAACAAATTAACTATACATAGCTTTAAATCAAATTGGTAGTTCCAATATTGCACTGAAGTAGATTATAATAATTCTGCTTGCCTGATCAAAGACCAAACAAAGAAAATAAAATAAATTGCCTGCTTGTTAGTAGTAGTTTTGGCTGACTGGAAAAGGCCAAGTTACAGCTATAATATAGCCATGATAACTTGATTATAAACATGATGTAAATCTTATAAGAGTTGAAAAGAGTGATTAAAGTATCTATGTGCTAACTGTATAAAATTCTGATAATCTGAATTCTTACCAGGAAAGAAAAAAAAGTCTCTTATCCCATCACTGTTCAGAGGTGTGTTTTGCTGCCTCCAATATTGACTAGCCGTTTGAAAAGCCAGTGATGTTGATACATGTGTTAGGTTAGGCAGAGGAGCACAGGGAGGTGACAGTGGATGGGTGAGACAAAAACCACCTCACCCTGGCTCTCCCAGGACCATGACAGGTCCATTCCACAACAGCAGAAGAAATGCAGAGTTCAGGGCAAGTAGGGGAACCCCAATAACAACGTAGAACCCAAACTCTATCCCAGCCTCCCAAGGGCTGTTCCTGGTGAGATCCAGCCCACAGGCCTGGGGGACAGCTCACACTAGGAGCTCTCCAGTCACTTCAGAGGCTGAAGGGGGCACCTGCCCAGTAATACAGGGCTCATTGAGGGGTACAAGGGAAGAGCATTTTGGGATTGCACAGGGCTAATTATGGAGTATTTAAGGATAACAATATCAGGGAAAGGAATGGATTCAGGTGCTTTGGGGTAGAACACATATTAAAAGTACAGGAATAAAGTAATTGTAGGGGCTGGTTGCATGTAACCTGAGGCTGGTCATTATGCTTGTGTGACCACACCCTGTGTAGTGGCTGTACCTGTAGTGGCATGGCTGCAGGGACGGCTTCTGTGAGAAGGTGCTAGAAGCTTCTCCCATGTTGGATAGAGCCAATGCCAGACAGCTCAAGATAGACCTGCTGCCGGCCAAGGCTGATCAGTGATGGGATAACATATTTAGGAAGGGGAAAAGTTGCTGTGCAGCATAAATTGTAGCTGGAGAAAGGAGTGACAATGTGTGAGGGTCGAGCTTGTTTTGCCCATGACAGTAACACAATACATTTTCTGTTTCCTGTCCTGCTGGGGTGGGGAAATGATTGAGTGACTTGGTAGGCACCTGGCATCCAGCTAAGGTCAACTCCCCACAGTCTTTACGATGCAATCTGCAAATGGACAAGCTACCACTTTTCGAGGAATATCTTGTGATTTTGTTTTGTTAATAATATTTATATCTGACAGCTATTAAAAAAAATATGTGTTATTAGGTCTCAAAAATACAATAATTTCCTATCTGGCAAGGCAGAATAGGCTGCTTTAATTTAACATCTGAGGACTGCAATCAAAATTAAAAATTTTTTTATTTTCCCAAAACAATAGAGACTACTGTTCTTGTGTAGCATAATTATACACCTTCACCACAAACCATGACTGAATGAAGGAATCAATCACAAAAAGACAGCTCAGACTGACTTTAAAGGACTGTTCCTTCTAAAAAGAAGCAAAAGTAGAAAGCAGTCTAAGCAATGTTAGAAAGCAGAGTCCTAAATGCCCTGAAGACAGCTGTCTAATATTTAGAATCTCTAGGAAATCAGAACAATCAAAAAGATTCTTAGGATTTGGTCAGATTGGTAATGGGGACTTGTCTATTCGTAAAGTGAGTATTAAGTGGTTACTTCAAAAGAGTCTATGTATTTTATTATAACTGTCTCAAAGACAAGATAATTCAAGTACATATCAATTCCAACTACATGTGTGTATTCTGGAATAGTTCATTTAAACTATTGTAAATAGTTGCCCATAAGGAAAATGTCTCTCAGAGGTCTCAGAGTCATAGAGCGTACACTGCAGGATTTGCCTGGATGACAAATTTAAGAATTGTGTCTGGAGGTAATCATTATTTGAGGTATGTGTTTTACTTCTAGGTTTTCTTCCAGAAATCTAGGTCATGTATGTCACAGGAGGTTTTTTTGTGGTTTGTTTGTGGGTTTTTTTCCATGATCAGCTCAAATAAGAATTAACTCAAGAAAAGAACCAAAGATGGAAATACATGTAAAAGTTGTTGAATTTTAGCAAAAATAAGTTCCTGAAAACGAAAACATGAGGGAGAGGCTGAGAGAGCCTGGAAATTTTAGCCTGGAGAAGAGCAGGTTTAGGGGAAGTAGGAGGGAATCTGATTGTTGTGTATTAATACCTGAGAAGATAAGATAATATAAAGAAGGTGAAGACAGACTCTTCATGATGATACTCATTGACAAGACATGAAGCAATAAGCAAAAACTGAAATAGAGGAAATTCCACTTACAAATAAGTGAAAGTTTTTTTACTGTGAGGGTAAACACTGGAATAGGTTGCCCAGAGAGGCTGTAGAGTGTCTAATCTTGAAGGTATTCAAAATCCACCAGACACAGTCCTGGGCAGCTTTTTTTAGGTGACCCTTCTTTGAGTAGGGGACTGGACTAGACAAACTCCAGAAGTCTCTTCCAATCTGTGCTATTATGCAATCTGTGGTACTAGTAGACTAGTCTAGCTCTAAACATTAACTCTGTTTAAAATAAAATCCCAAATAAATGCTTAGTTTTCAAATACTCATATAATACAAGTGTAATAGAAAAGGATTTATTGAAGCTCTTACATTAATCAGCTTTTTATACCACTCTGAAATTTCATCCTATTTGTCACTTTCTTCTAGGTTTTAACTCAGTTTATGTTTATATCACTAACATGGGAATTCATTTAATTGCAATTGAGCCTAAGATGGCTGTGGCTTATGTAATTCAGAGATCTTTGTATTTAACACAATAAATTTTATAAAACTGCATTTCAAAAGAATTATTTAACTTCAGAAAGGAAATTTCCATAATTGTAAGAATCTGAATTGCAGTAAGAAACTTTCACTTGTCATTCACAAGCTAGATTCTACATCAGTGAAGTTTACACTTACACCCAATACCTGATGTATTATGCAGAGCAGCAGATGTACATCTGAAATAATGATCTCCCCAGATATTTCCTAAAAGCTTTAACTCCATGGTAAGTATTTGTCTAGAGATAAGATATATTGAAAAAGAACAAAAGCTATTTTCCCATGTATGTTACTTTATACCAAACTTCCCCTTGTTATTCTGTTGATTCATAATTTTCTGACATGCCAGCAAGATGAGTCACATTGTTTTTGTGATCTCCAGTCAATAGGCTTAAGACACAGAGTTAACATAAGCTGTGCATTTAAATTTGTGGTCACCAATAGTGGTATGCATCCCTGGTAAACTTTGAAAAAATAAGTTGTAAGTGCAAAAGATCATAGAATACATATTTGTGTTGAGTTGACACAATGAAATGAAATTTCAGAATTTTTTTTTTTAAATAAAAAGTCAAAATACGTTTAAAACTAAAAGAACTATGTATTTTAAATGCTTTTGTTGCATATGTATGTCATAGTCACCAGAAACACACATTTGTCTCAGTGTATTTGTCATTTCTAAAATGATAGAGGTTCCAGAGTTTCATGGAAAAAAAGAAAGGTCTAAAGTAATAAATGATATGATGGTGTGGGAGGTCAAAGGGTTGAAACAGCCTACATAAGCACAGAATTTAAAAACACAGATAAATTAGGAAGCTCTTTTATTTTCAATATAACTAACATGTCTTTCATCTTGAGTAATGATTCAAGAGTCAATAAAGAAGCCATTCTAAAAAATTGCATTTTAAAAAGTATCTAGGTGAACATAAGTAGAAATTGACAGCAACGCTGACATCCTTTTGTCTTCTTTTAAAGTTTTATATGGAAATCTATGCAAGAGGCTGAAATATAATTTGTACTATACTATGGTTGAGTCAAATTTCCAAATGATGAATGTAGCTCCCAGATAAGAGTTAGATTTTGAATAATGAAGGAAAACAATGTTTATATGGCAGTATGACTTTGTGTGAATTGACTTTCTGCAAGTTGCATTCCAAGCATGTTTTTAAAGCAAAGATCAGACTGAATGCAAAGCAATTTATTACAGAAAAAATGAGCAATCAAATATATACTTAGAGCAAACTGCATTGTGAAGTACACATACTTCTTCCAAAAGTAAACCCCTAGAGATATCTGATCACACAAGGATGATACTCAGCGTAAGAGCAGTAGTAGTCAGCTGTTTACTACAAGCCTGATATTTAAACATAATTTTCAAATTTCACCCTTCTTTAGTGATGCTTAAAGGTAAAGAATTTTTTTGCTGAACTTTTATAGGTTTCCTACCTTGAAACTGAGCATTAAATCCCTTCCGTCGGTGATTGCTGTCAGATGTAAAATGGAGTCGTAACCAGTTCTTACTGCTGATAACAGGAGAAGGTAGATTCATGCCAGTCAACCTGGAAAAAAAGAATCTAGTATTAATGGTTTAAAAAAATCATGTGGACACTACTTAGAAAAAAACCCACAAAGTCAAAATATGTTGACCAAAGTGATTCACTGTCATCTCATCTCAATGTATTACTAGTTAAGTAACTATTATACCGTGAGAAATGTCAGGGTTTGTTTCCCATTACACCTATCCATTTTATGGTCATACCTTGTATTTCTAAACTACTTTTTCATGAATTAAAGAGGAAAAGCAGTCTTGTGAGTGTGTGTATGTATACAGGCATGTGTCAAAATATTAAGCAAAAAATAAGCATATTCAGTTATTATAAATTTTCATCATCTGACTCTCTGCTGTGAGAGTTACCTTACAGGAAGCCATATGTCAGGTATTGAGAAATGATAAATAAGGGTTATAGATGTTAGTTAATGTTAAGCTTGGGTGGCAAATTACTGATACAAAACTATCCTGTTAGAACTGATGTTGTGTACATTAATTCCTGCCCACATTTAATAAAAAAAGAGAAGTTTAAGCACAACTGAATGCAGACTAACCTACTTGCACTAACTATGGTATTGTGAAGAGTGCACACAAGGATTTTTTCTAGTACAGGCAACAGGCCTTTGGAAAACGTTGGATCATCCCAAAGTCATTAATTGCATCACACTTTTTGTTAATATGAACACACTTGGGTAGTTATCAGAGTGCCCTGATATGGTGTAAATTAATGTCTTAGTTTACCAGATTTGGTTTTCATGACCATGCTCTAGGTTTCAGATTTAGCTTTTTTTTTCTGAATAACTCTGGAGGACTACACAAAATTAAGTTTCTCCTTTTCAAAAATGTTGATTATTTGAAACAAAACTCAAACCAATTAATATCAGAAATTCTCAGCTAAAATATAAAATGTGTGAGTTTAGATTTTACAATACTAGAGTAGGCACAATACATATGACTGAAGCTAAAAAAGTGCCAAACTGAAATGGGATTTAGTCACTTCTGAAATTAATGCAGTGCGATAGATGCCTTTGTTCCTTCCAGTATGAAATTCCAGAGTTTCATTAAATTTTTCAGATTACTAGGAAACCCATCATATTAAGAAATACTGATGCTGGAGAAATCTATTTAGAGTTATGTATGAATCCCTTTTCTTTCTGTAATGGAACAAGATCAACATACTGAAATATAGAAATTCTTACCAGATTTCTTTTTTTCATTAGGACATACAAACTGTATCAGAGAAATTGAATTCTTACTTAAAATCTCATTTTCTTTATCTAGTTGTTAACAACATAAGGGACACCCAAATCTTAGTTAAAACCAGCTTTGATTGAAAGAAAAGGAAGATTTACACTCTCCATTTAATATATGGCATTCAATAGTTCTTGAAGGTGTTGGTCAAAACATTCAATCCTATATGCTTCTACATATCACACAAATAGAATTTTATTTATATTTATTTATACTTTTCATATACTCTTTAGACCAAATATATGCCAAATCTAAAAGCTTTTCTATATATAGGCTGAAATTCATATTACTGTATTTCGTTGTCCAAGTATACAAACTTATGTCCTAGAAATACTGTTTTTGGGGTTGGTTTTCTTTTATAAATGAAATATAAATGAAATAACATTCTATCTAGCTTATCCAGAGCTTTGGATTTCAAAGCTAGCAAAACTCTGGGCTGAAATATTAAATTGAAATATGAATTATATGGTACATTATTAAAAGAGTAAATGAACATTATTATAAAAGCATGTTCAGAGCAGATATTTCCTTAGTTACATTTCTAATAATCAGACACAAAATACACAAGATATTTTCAGATCTATGTGAACTCTGCAAGGTGCAGCTAAATAGTCTCAAATCTCCCCATTATATTATGTACAATAATGATGATGTGATCATGACACAGAGAGAGTATTTTAAGCAACCTATTTTATCAGAGTTCTAATTTATCTGTGTGATCTCTATGCTACTGAATTCTAGATAAGAATATGTTCTTTACAAGAAATACTGTTTGTGTTTTAATTGGAGAAAGTGAGAAATTGAAATAAAGCTCAGTTGTTAATTTAGATGCAAGGATGCTTTGGGAGCAAGTTATAACCTGTGTATGGCACACTGGTGCATTTTTTTTTTTCTGTAAGGTTTTCAAAACCTCTTCACTATAGAACCCAAATTCAGAAATTACAACAGATTTTGGGAGGGTTAGATTAGAATCCTATGGCCCACATATGGACCTCAAAGGTGGTGCCCCTACGAAAAGAACTTCATTCTGTGGCATTCTTCATGTGCAGGTGAGACTTCCTATGGAAAATATCAGAGTTTCCGGTAATGGAAAATCTAAAAATTTGTGGATACAGTGTCAAATTCTTCTTTACATGTTAATTGACCATTTACCTGCAATTTCTGGATGGCAGGAAACTCAAGCTGTGTTTGAAAGAGAGAGGTGGACATGGTTACTGCTGAAAGGGGCAGAGTGCCACCTGAATTGGTACAGCAGGCAGATTTCTAGCTCACACAGAAGCTGAGATAGTATAAAAAAACTGGGTTTTTTCCCCTTCATGCTTATTTCTAGGTCTTTTTTTTTTTTTTTTTTTAATCTGGGAATAGGAAGCAAATAAACTATCCATCACCCAGCAAATATCAAAACACAAGAAAAAAACTTTATAACATTACAGGTGTGCTCCTCAGAGAAAAGTAAAAATCAGTACTGTCAAGGAGTGTTGATTCCAGTCCCACCAAGTAGAATATTGTATCTAAAGCAAAAGACAAAATGTCAGGGAGGGGTCCCTAAAGCACATGCTCCTTTGTTTTTCTGACATACAAAATGCAACTCCCATGGCCGTGGGATGTGCTTATAAGTTAGATGTAGTTCAGCAATAGAGAAGCTGGACACCACTACTCAACAAATTCTCGAGATCACACTCTAAAGAAAGAATGATCCCTCCCAGTCCCACAAAGAACAACACAGTGCTTCATCTGAGGCTGCAGAATTATGAGGAACATCTCCTGTGAGCTTTACCAACTGAGAGGTGCATCACATTCCACGATTTTTAAGTGCCCATACGCTCTGTGTGCTGGCAGTATTACAAGTGTGCTTCCTCTGACTCAGTGTAGCATTTACTGTTACATGCTAACTTTTTGTATGAACTGAGTATTCATGGAAAACAAGCAGTTTGGTTATGTCCATACTAGTAAATTGAACAGCAGAGCTTTATATCAATTCCTGCTTGAGAGTCTACACTGTTAAAGGTTACAACAACAAATCATGGAATCTTAGAATCATAGAATTGTTTGGGTTGGAAGGAACCTTAAAGCTCATCTAGTTCCAACCCTCCTTGCCTTAAACGAGGTTGCTGAAACTCCCAACCAACTCGGCCTTGAACACTCCAAGGAATGGGGACTCCACAGTTTTTCTGGGCAACCTGTTCCAGTGCCTCACCACCCTTATCATGAAACTATTCTGCCCATGACAGATTAGTGCTCCCTCAGTCTTTCATGGGATCAGTGTAGGAATTAGTATAAAACACAGGGTCCCAATAGGCATTCGAAATGTGACCACCCCTTGTGAGTTTTTCAGGAAACACTAACAGATGTCATGAAGTTAGATTGCTCTGAAAGCAAAAACACAACTAAAGCAAAGTTTTCTTTATTGAAAGTGCATACACGTAGTATTAATTCCTGATGCATACGAATATAGATAATTTTAGCTTAGATTAGGTATGGACTCTAAAATCAGATGAAAGCTTGGAACTTCTTTGTATCAGACAAATTATTTAGATAAAGTAAACCCCCCCTATTTCTTAATATCAGTTTCTCCTTAGAAGCATTCATGCTTTGATCTTTACTAATGATTTCTCTGTTGCTGTCTAAAAAGAATATTGAAAGTTCCTCAGTTCTTTCTAACCGAAGACATTTATTGTATGGGAAGTAATACAAAAGAAATTAAATTTTTCAGGTATGTGTGAATTCTGCCTCTGCCATGAAAAAAATAATGCTTTTTTTGAAACTGATTGTAAGGCCTAGCATAGATAGTCTTAAAAATCTGCCCTAGCCTTGGATAGAAGTGATATCTAATCTAAATTAGATTAATCAAGTTTTAATAAACAAATATACATATGTATAGGTAATGTTATTTGGGCATTTTCTGGATATACTTGGTCTGATTTGCAGAGCTTTGAGATTTCATCTTCTGTACTGACAGTAGCCAGGTAGCTTCTAGGATCAGTAGGTTAAAACTGAATGTCACTTAGACAAGTGACATGTTTGAATGCTCTTGGCTAAACGCGATTTGAGGCCATGCACTGAACAGGGACTGAAGGAAGCATTAAATAGCTGTTTATTCACTGAGTATCAAGCACTCAGTGACCTGTTAAAGAGCAATCCCATGGGAAGAAAAAAACAAACAGAAAATAATTTTTCAAATAAAATTGTATGACGATGCATTTACCTGACGACTCAGGATGAAGATTGCACAGGGAATCTAAAATCTCTGTTTTCTGCATACTAAATGTTGCACTGTGCTTCACAGAACAAGACAGACTTGCAGGGAATTCCTGTGTGTGCTGACTGTTACAGCATCATAAAGAACTAAAGGGTAAGGTTTTGAAAGCTTTGTAGTTATATTAGTATCATACTACACCTCTGCTGATGAGCACTGCTTCTTATAAGACATAATAGGAAATAATTAAACCACCCCTGTTTTTCTTCTTCTAGATCTGAAGGCAGACAGGCTACAATAGGATCAGAGATAGCAGAGGAAGCTCTGTTTTTCATGTCATACTACTTTATGTAATGTTTTAATTTTTATTCTTATTCCATCATTTCCTCACACAGACGCTAATCTACTGTTTCTACACATAATAAGCCATTCTGTTTCCATTCAGTAATGTTTTCCTTATGTAAAGTATGTCGGATAGAAAAGTAAAACGTCTTTTGAAACCTATTGCATTATCAAGAGTTTGTGATAAGTTTTATTAAAATTATTAATAACAGGTTTGTCAC